AAAGACAAACTGGCATACACTTCATAAATTATAGAGAGCACCATAAGCGCTTATATTTGGAGAAGATTGAACAGGGTTGTAATTTCAACCAAAACAATGACCCAACCCTGCTTTTTACCTTATAAAAAAAGAACATAACTTATTTTATCATATTCCAACAAGATACAGAAAAGAAACTGCCATCCACCGCTTTTTCTTGTACCTCGAGCCCCAAACCAAAACAAACAAAAGCTGATGAATTCTTCCTTCAAGACACCTTTTATTTTTTACTAACACTACCAAAAAACCATTCCTTCTTTCTGATAATAATCTTCTTCTTCATCATCATCATTTTCCCCATTAACACTATTTCCTATCCCGACTACTAAGCTTCTAACACAAACTAACTACTCAAACTAAACCTTCAATTTAAACTTGCACTTCTGTAAAAGCTTCAAAAAACCAGGCACAATTTAGGGAGGACCCAGAAGGTTAAAAGGTTAAAAGGCCAAAATGGTCAGTAAGTCCACTCCTGAGGTAGCCGGACCTCTTGGTTCTTCACCGGCAGTGGCCGGCCATTTCGTCTCTGTTGAGCCAAAAGCAGATTGTTTCGATACTTTGAAGAAGCATCTGCATAAAAGAAAAGACTTACATGAGCTTCATAGCCACATAAATGTTTGTTAATATTTTAGAGTTGGACGAATTATATTTTTACCATAGTCAAGAGTGGAAGTTCCACCATGCGGAGGCTGAAGCTGGACTTGAGCATCCATGGAATCTAAGTTCAAGTTCAGAGCCTGGACCACTCTATCTGGAAGTAAAACTGTCGAACACACTGCAATACCCACAAAAGATAATCCATTTTAGAAGATGACAAAACAAAATGACTAGATCTGGATCAAAACATAGCAATGAATATCAGAAGAAAAATCATAAACCCCCACCACCACTACCCAGATATCATGTGAAAAACTGAATAGAATACACTGCCACCAGAAACAGTTCAAAGATTTAATTGGGATATTACAGACAAAACCCAAACACCATTCCAATAAGTACAAAATTCGTAAAGGAATTAAACAAATGAACAAAACCATAAAAAAAAACACTAACATTACCTGGCTTCTTGCGAGTTTCAGTGGGGATTCCAGCTCTCCGAGGCAAGAAGACACCAGTTCCAGCACATTCTCGTTTTGCCCCAGGATTTCCAAGAAACACAGCCCTCATACCAGACCCAGGTTGTGTATTTTGTTGCTGTGATTGTTGCAGAGTAGGCCAAGCAGACATTGACAGACCCAAAGTCCTTCCACCACCATTTCTCTCTCTGTTCTGAACAATTTGGGGACTCTGTTTCTGTTGATACTTGGGCTGCTGACCCCAAATCCCCATACCACCCTGTTGCTTCATCATCTGTTGCCGTTTCAACTGCATAAACTAGCAAATCAAAATAAAAAAATCAGTAGAGAAATTACGGCTAAAATGTACTTACCGTAAAGACTACCAAAAGGACTTGAATAATACTACTTCAGGGGCTTACTTGGGCGGCTTGTAATTGCTGGTAATAAATGGATTGGTTTGAATGAAACCCAAGATTTGAGTGATCTAGACCACTGGGATTAGGGTTTTTCAAGATGGGGCTCGGCTTTCTTGGGGGGACGAAAATTCCTCTGTTCTGGTAAAACCCATTTCCTTCCTCAACCATCCTCATCTTTGCAACTTCCCCTGCAGCCGCATGTAGGAGATCCCAAGCGGCTTCGTTCCGTCCCATAGCCGGAGGCGAAGAAACTTGGGACGGACAGTTTGGGCTTCCTCGGCTAGAGTCCTGTTTGCAGCCACAACCTCCAAGGGCAGAACACAGCGTTGATTGAGGCGAACCAGACAAAGCCCATGACTGCACAATACAAAACACAAAAATCCCAAATTAGACTATCATATGATTGAGATAATAAACCAAATCAAAGTACAGAGGTAAAAACAGTCAAATACCTTTGATTTCTCGTAGGCCATAAAAGGTTCTGCTTTCCACAAATCGTCTTCAAGGGTAGACTGATCCAGTTTCCTAGTTAATCCAGTGAGGTACTCATCTTCATCACTCTCAGTCTCGGTCGAACCCACCACGGACTCAACGGGTGAACTCAGTTCCGAGTTGGTCCAAAACGAACCAAGCCCAGTTGGGAAATCATAAGGGAAATAGGCTCCAATGTCATTTTCTCTGCCAAAACACTTGTCTCCTTCAGTTTTCTTAGTGGACTTGGAGATGTTTTTGAAGTCCATGAGGAGTTCGTCCTCGGTGAGGAACTGAGGAGGCAGCCAAAACTCTCCGTCATCCAATTCTTGTGCCATTTCAAACACCTATAGATATACTCAAAACTAGATATATATGAGTATATCAGTGATATACAAAAAAATATCACAGAGAGGTGGGGTTTTGATTACACCCTGGTGTGTGGGGGGTTGCTGGTTCTTTAAGGTTCAATAATTGCCACCACCACTTCCGTTGTGCTTTATGGGTCTTCACAGTCTCGGGGCCCCAGACCGAAAGCAAAGAGAAGGATATGGAGGCGGAGAGGCCTTCGAAGGGTATGATGGAGAGAGAAGGTTGAGGTAGAGTGTTTATTGCTTTATACTCCAATGAAAGGGTTACAGGGTGGGAGGAACCCTATGTGAGGGGTTTAGTACGACGCGCCTCGGTGTATGGGTGATGATCACGCGCAGTGCCACGAAATTTGAAAAGGGAATGATGCGGAGTTGTAGCCAGGTAAGGGCGTGAGTTGATTGGATGTGTTGTGGGTCCATATCTGACAATGGTCACTCGGTTTGCATGTGAGCCCAAGGTGGGCCCACGTTTTTGTAGAGTGAGTGAAAGTAAGACTACTCTACCGGCCGGTGGCTAACAAAGCCTAATAAAGTTGTTTATTTACTTTAGAAAAATTTATAATAAAAATTTTAGACAACAGTGCCACAATTTTTCGAAATTCTACTATTCTTTATAATAAGGATTAAAATTTTATTCTAATGTATTATTTTAATTATTTTAAAAATAAAAATATTGTCATATATTTTAAAAACGTTTTAATTCGTTTTTAAAATAAAATAAAAAAATATTTTTAAAAAATATTAATCAAAATATACTAAAATATCTTAAAATACATTAAAATATTCTAAAATAATTATGCATATGTATTTGAAATATTATAAAACATCTCAAAATATTAAAATTTTTGATTCCATCATTGATTCGTTTCGATCTTTTCACAAATGAAAACATTTCGAACATTCAATTGCTTCAAAATAAAATTTTAATTATTTACTTTATAATTTCACAAGATTCTCGGGAGTTACCTAATTATTTTGAACAATGGAATCTATTTTTTTTTCTTACAAACACCATTTAATTTTTTTAACATTTATATGTAACTGTATAAATATTTTAGATCAAATCGAATATAGTATATTCAAATCTAAATTCATTAAAAATATCATAACATATTCAAGTTCAGGTTTTCTTTAAGAAAAATATTAATTTATATATAATTAATTAGATTTATAACAAAATTTAATTTATTGACAAATCTATTGTCATGGATAAACATTAAAAAAAATGAAATAAATAAATATATATATATAATTTTTTTTTTTGCTGGTTAAAAAAAAAAGATATGGAGACAAGAAAGAGTGTCTAACCACCCTGATAAGCCTTTATCGGCGGGATCGTAAGGTTCTTGATCGTGCTTGGAACACTTCTCGAGACCAAATTTAGTTAGGGTTATATAGCGATCAATCACCAAATCTCAATGAAAACTCTAAGAATTAAATTCTCAATTTTAAGATGAAGAGTAACGTCGATATGCTACTATACCATCCTACTTGATGATGTATATATATATTTGTCGTAATAAGGTGAGAGCTCATATCATATGCTACTCCGCTTTAGACCATATTCACCCAAATTTTGCGCGGACACTACGGTGGCCGACTAGGCAGACATATGTCCTCATCCTCTCCACGTGGCATACATGCTTAGCATCCAAGGAATGAAATGAAAGGGTTAAGAGTTTTTTTTTTTTTTTAAATATCCTTAATTAGATATTTAGTGGACTATGTTGCCCTTGTTTTTTGCAAAAATTTACCATGAAAAAGGTAGTGGATCAAATGACGAAATTGGCCTCATTGAATTGCCCCTCATCCAAACCTAGTCGACAAACGAGGCAGTGTACTCTGTACCACTGTACATATGTATACAGTATATGTGTGTGTTTTGATGTAAACCCTATGAGAGACAATCTGTCTACAGAAGATTTTATGGGGGAGTAAGAATGACACAGTTTAAAGTTGTCAGTGGTGTCAAACACGGCGGTTAAACGGGTGATCATCGAAAAATATATAAATATATACACGATACGTTTTAATAAATGAATAAAAAATTTTAACACGAATATGACTTGTTAAATAAACGGATAATACGACACAACTCGTTTAACCCGTTTAATTTTAAAAAAATTATATTAACAAATTTTAATACTCTAATTTTTTTTATTGTCAATTGCATTTACCTCAAAAAAGAAGATTTTTTAGTCAAATCTTATAAAAATAAGACTTGAAGGCCTAAAAAAAAAATAAGAGACCATTATTTTTTATGGGTAACTCAACCCTCCCTATCTCCCCTCATTTTTCAATGTGGAACAAATACGACTTGAAGGCTTAAAAAAAAGTAAGAGGTCATTACTTTTTTTTGACAACTCAACCCTCTCCATATCCTATCATTTTTCAATGTGGGACAAATAAAACTTGAAAGCTTAAAAAAAAAAAAAAGTAAGACGTTATTGTTTTTTATAGACAACTCAACCCTCCTCATCTCCCCTCATTTCCCAATGTGGGGCAAATAAGACTTGACTTTGTATTTGAAGTGTTCCTCATCTCATCTCTTTTGTCTTTAAACTATTATTTTACTTTTTTTTATTAATTTCTTTACTTCTTTTTTTTATTAATTTTTTTAAATAATTATTAATTTTATTTAAACGAGTAAACGTGTGATAAACGGTTTGACAGGTCTCACCCGAACAAGACCCCATTTATTAAACGTGTTTGGCGTATCAACCTGTTTATCACCCAAACTCGTTAAGATATCACTCAAACCCACTTAATTCGTATCGATTTATATCGGTTAATCGTGTCGTGTCAAATTTTGACAGTCTTATTCATGTCTCAGGTCTTTTTTTCCTTTTTTAAAAATATCTCAATTATCGGAATAAATTATTATAATATTTCTCTTTTACATACCAGGTTAATGCTAAATTTTATTTAAAAGCCGACTCTCTCCCCCCCCCCCCCCCCCCCCCC